GTTCGCCTCCAGCCCAGGAGGCACGCCATCTACCCATCGCCCTCCAAGGAGGGCGCGGGGTAGCTGAACTGGCCAACCTGCAACGGTTTCCCGTTGCCCTTTCGACTCCTCGAATGATCGGTGCTCTGCATTGAATCTTAGCCAGAGCCGGCCCTGCCTTTCTCGCCACCTTTTTCGTTTTGGCCAGGGCATCTCCCCCCACCGTGCCATCTCCCTTCATTTTACCAGGTGATCCTCCGCACCTGGAGAGCTCCCCGCCCCCTCCGCTGGGGCCTGTGCGCACCAACCCTCCGAAGAGAGTCCATGCGCACGTCTCACGGGACGCTCCCCCCCGGATCACAGAGTGCCGCCCTCCGTGGCCCGGGCCGGTGCCTCATAGGACCTCATGACAAGCTCGACTTCATACCTAGGTAATCCGCCTTGCTTGTGGTTTGAGGGCCAGTTCTCCTCTCCCCGAATTATTACTACGGAAAGGCCTCGGATTACCTTGGCTTACCGACTTTTCAAGCAACCGTCCTACCCAAAGATTAGTGAGAAGAGGTGAAAAGCCACTTCCCCCAAACCTTCTTAGGCTAACCACCTGGATTACGTTGGCTTACCGTCGTTTGGCGCAACCGAGTGACCCTTGCAAAGGTTCGGGGAGAGGTGGAGCACCCCTTCCCCCGGATTTTCTTAGGCCAACCACCCGGATTACGCTGGCTTACCGTCGTTTGGAGCAATCGATTCCCAGATGCCAGGGGTTGGGGAGAGGTGGAGCACCCCTCCCGCCCAGTATTCTTAGGCCAATGACCTGGATTACGTTGGCTTACCGTCGTTTGGGGCAATCGATTTCCCCGTGGCAAGGGTTGGGGAGAGGTAGAGCACTCCTCCCCTCCGTTGTTCTTAGGCCAGTGACCCGGATTACGTTGGCTTACCGTCGTTTGGGGCAATCTATGCCCACATGCCAAGGGTTGGGGAAAGATAGAGCACCCCTCCCCTCCGGTGTTCTTAGGCCAATGACCCGGATTACGTTGGGTTACCGTCATTTGAGGCAACCGTATGACCCATGCCAGGGGTCGGGGAGAGGTAGAGCACCCCTCCCCTGCAGTATTCTTAGGAAAACCACCTCGATTACGTTGGCTTACCGTCGTTTGGGGCAATCGGTTCCACCATGCCAGGGGTTGGGGAGAGGTAAGGAGCCCCTCCCCTCCGGCATTCTTAGGCCAATGACCTGGATTACGTTGGCTTACCGTCGTTTGGGGCAACCGGATGCCCCGAGCCAAGGGTTGGGGAGAGGTGGAGCACCCCTCCCCTCCTGTATTCTTAGGCCAATGACCCCGATTACGTTGGGTTACCATCGTTTGGGGCAATCGGATGGCCCATGCCAAGGGTTGGGGAGAGGTGGAGCACCCCTCCCCCCCCCCGTATTCTTAGGCCAATGACCTGGATTACGTTGGCTTACCGTCGTTTGGGGCAACCGGATGCCCCGAGCCAAGGGTTGGGGAGAGGTGGAGCACCCCTCCCCTCCTGTATTCTTAGGCCAATGACCCCGATTACGTTGGGTTACCATCGTTTGGGGCAATCGGATGGCCCATGCCAAGGGTTGGGGAGAGGTGGAGCACCCCTCCCCCCCCCCGTATTCTTAGGCCAATGACCTGGATTACGTTGGGTTACCGTCGTTTGGGGCAATCGGATGGCCCATGCCAAGGGTTGGGGAGAGGTGGAGCACCCCTCCCCCCCCCCGTATTCTTAGGCCAATGACCTGGATTACGTTGGGTTACCGTCGTTTGGGGCAATCCGATGGCCCGTGCCAAGGGTTGGGGAGAGGTGGAGCACCCCTCCCCCCCCCCGTATTCTTAGGCCAATGACCTGGATTACGTTGGGTTACCGTCGTTTGGGGCAATCGGATGGCTTGTGCCAAGGGTTGGGGAGAGGTAGAGCACCCCTTCCCCCCCGTATTCTTAGGCCAATGACCTGGATTACGTTGGGTTACCGTCGTTTGGGGCAATCCGATGGCCCGTGCCAAGGGTTGGGGAGAGGTAGAGCACCCCTTCCCTCCTGTATTCCTAGGCCAATGACCTGGATTACGTTGGGTTACCGTCGTTTGGGGCAATCAAGTCCCCGGAACCCAAGTGATGGAATCCATCCGGATCGGACCCCGGATGGGTTTGATCGAACCCATTCGGATGGAACCCATCCGGATCCGGATCTGGATCGATCGAACCCATCCGGATCCGGATCGATCGAACCCATCCGGATCCGAGTCGATCGAACCCATTCGGATAGAACCCATCCCTATCGAGCCCATCCGGATCCGAGTCGATCGAACCCATTCGGATCGAACCCACCCGGGTCCGGATCGATCGAATCCGTCCGGATCCGGATCAAATGAACCCTTTCGGACCCAAGCCCATCCGGATCCGGATCGATCGAACCCATCCGGATCCGAGCCGATCGAACCCATCCGGATCCGAGTCGATCGAACCCATCCGGATCCGGATCGATCGAACCCATCCGGATCCGGTTCGATCGAACCCATTCGGATGGAATCGATCCGGATCCGAGTCGATCGAACCAATCCGGATCCGAGTCGATCGAACCCATTCGGATCGAACCCATCCGGATCCGAGTCGATCGAACCCATTCGGATCGAACCCATCCTTATCGAACCCATCCGGATCCGGATCGAACCCATCCGGATCCGGTTCGATCGAACCGATTCGGATGGAATCGATCCGGATCCGAGTCGGTCGAACCCATTTGGATCGAACCCACCCGGGTGCGGATCGATCGAACCCATCCGGATCCGGTTCGATCGAACCCATTCGGATGGAATCGATCCGGATCCGAGTCGATCGAACCAATCCGGATCCGAGTCGATCGAACCCATTCGTATCGAACCCATCCGGATCCGAGTCGATCGAACCCATCCTTATCGAACCCATCCGGATCCGGATCGATCGAACCCATCCGGATCCGGTTCGATCGAACCGATTCGGATGGAATCGATCCGGATCCGAGTCGATCGAACCCATTTGGATCGAACCCATCCGGATCCGGATTCACCGGCCCCATTCGTATCGAACCCATTCGGGTCCGGATCGATCGAACCATCAAGGTCAAAGCCTAGGCAGGGTATTCCTATGCCAATGGCCTGCATTGCGTTGGGTTACGATTGTTTGGGGCAATCAAGAACCGAAACCCAAGTGATGGGGAGTGGTAGAATGCCCCATCCCTAGAGTATTCCTAGGCCTATGACCTGGATTACGTTGGGTTACCGTCGTTTGGGGCAATCCGAAAACACATGGCCGAATGATGGGGAGAGGAAAAATACCACTTCCCTAGGGTATTCCTAGGCCTATGACCTGGATTACGTTGGGTTACCGTCGTTTGGGGCAATCCGAAAACACATGGCCGAATGATGGGGAGAGGAAAAATACCACTTCCCTAGGGTATTCCTAGGCCTATGACCTGGATTACGTTGGGTTACCGTCGTTTGGGGCAATCCGAAAAAATATGGCCGAATGATGGGGAGAGGAAAAATGCCACTTCCCTAGGGTATTCCTAGGCCTATGACCTGGATTACGTTGGGTTACCGTCGTTTGGGGCAATCGGATGGCCCATGCCAAGGGTTGGGGAGAGGTGGAGCACCCCTCCCCCCCCCCGTATTCTTAGGCCAATGACCTGGATTACGTTGGGTTACCGTCGTTTGGGGCAATCCGATGGCCCGTGCCAAGGGTTGGGGAGAGGTGGAGCACCCCTCCCCCCCCCCGTATTCTTAGGCCAATGACCTGGATTACGTTGGGTTACCGTCGTTTGGGGCAATCGGATGGCTTGTGCCAAGGGTTGGGGAGAGGTAGAGCACCCCTTCCCCCCCGTATTCTTAGGCCAATGACCTGGATTACGTTGGGTTACCGTCGTTTGGGGCAATCCGATGGCCCGTGCCAAGGGTTGGGGAGAGGTAGAGCACCCCTTCCCTCCTGTATTCCTAGGCCAATGACCTGGATTACGTTGGGTTACCGTCGTTTGGGGCAATCAAGTCCCCGGAACCCAAGTGATGGAATCCATCCGGATCGGACCCCGGATGGGTTTGATCGAACCCATTCGGATGGAACCCATCCGGATCCGGATCTGGATCGATCGAACCCATTCGGATCCGAGTCGATCGAACCCATCCTTATCGAGCCGATCCGGATCCGGATCGATCGAACCCGTGTGGATCAAACCCATCCGGATCCGGATCAATTGAACCCATCCGGATCCGGATCGATCGAACCCATCCGGATCCGAGTCGATCGAACCCATTCGGATAGAACCCATCCCTATCGAGCCCATCCGGATCCGAGTCGATCGAACCCATTCGGATCGAACCCACCCGGGTCCGGATCGATCGAATCCGTCCGGATCCGGATCAAATGAACCCTTTCGGACCCAAGCCCATCCGGATCCGGATCGATCGAACCCATCCGGATCCGAGCCGATCGAACCCATCCGGATCCGAGTCGATCGAACCCATCCGGATCCGGATCGATCGAACCCATCCGGATCCGGTTCGATCGAACCCATTCGGATGGAATCGATCCGGATCCGAGTCGATCGAACCAATCCGGATCCGAGTCGATCGAACCCATTCGGATCGAACCCATCCGGATCCGAGTCGATCGAACCCATTCGGATCGAACCCATCCTTATCGAACCCATCCGGATCCGGATCGAACCCATCCGGATCCGGTTCGATCGAACCGATTCGGATGGAATCGATCCGGATCCGAGTCGGTCGAACCCATTTG